TATTTTGACCATGTTGACCCTGACCAATGTGCGCTATTTTTATGCACTTTTGAGAACGTTTGTTCGGCGGAAGCTGAAAACCTGGAGTCGCGTGATGATTCCCGTCGAAATGTATATCAACCGGATTTACCAGATCGAACGAATCTTCAGCGGCGTCTTGCGGATGACTGAATTTCCCCGGGCGACATGAGTCGCTTTGATGGCCATTATGATTTCCGATGTTCAGCCATTACTTCCACGGGCGAATGCTGCCGGTTGCTCCCGTCCACCGAAAATTTGGACTCGGTCCAGAAGATTTTCAGGCTGGGTCGTATGCTTGTGACTTTTCTACTTCTGTGGGAGTATTTTATTTTATTTTATTTTATTTCATTTTATTTTATTTCATTTTATTTTATTTTATTTCATTTTATTTTATTTTATTTTATTTCATTTTATTTTATTTTATTTTATATTATTTTATTTTATTTTATTTTGTTTGATAAAAAATACGAGTTTATTTTAGCCTTTGCTGTTTTAACGTGAATCTCACTTCTAAAAATGACTCGAAGTTCAAAAAATTGCCTGGCCGACCACGAGGCAGATGGGATCCAAGAACGCAAGTGAACCCGAAGCAACGCTGACCGTAATTAATCGGCTTCCCGTATGCAAAGCCCGCTGGAAACAAAGCGCCCATGAACGAAATCGAGAGACCTTAACCGCTTAAGGAAAGAGGAGTGCAACCAGGTCCGTCCGGCCGGCTGACTCCTGGTTGCCCTCGAGAAGAACGGGGACAAGCGAAAATATTTTGCGAATAATTAGCTTTGAGCTCTCGCGTCTTTTTGATTCGATTCCACGAGAGGTTAAAGGAAATGCAAGACTTCGATTTGGTATGAATATTCATGACCCACCCTGTACTTTGGTGCAATATCGACCGCGCAGCTTTCGTCACCTCTCGTCACAATTGACACGTGACACAATGGAATTCACATCGAAGCTTTTCTCTGTACTTATACCGGATAAATGAAATGAATTGAAAAATGAAATGAAGTGAAAAATGAAATGAAGTGAAAAATGAAATGAAGTGAAAAATGAAATGAAGTGAAAAATGAAATGAAGTGAAAAATGAAAAGCCGAAGACAGGGTTGCTGGATCGAAGGTAAATCTCCTCTCTGCCTTTCAATTCGTCCACAGACGAGGAGGAATCCAAGTACTGATCAACAGACACTCAACACTCAACGAACAACTCATCGACGAAGGCCTCGACAATCGTGGAAAGCCGCAATTTGCATAGTAAGGAGATGAAGAAATTTTGAACTTGGAATGAGAAAGACGGTATTTCTTCTCCGCGCTCTGACAACCCTGGCTATCTGTTAATGAATGTACCCTGTTGGCATATATGTGGAGGTCGTCGAAGGACTTCGAGGAAATCGCATGCGGCGAACATAAAATGGGGCAGTAAGCCGGAAAGAAAAGAATCCGTAGGGAATTATGTGGAAAAGTCCGGATGCAGCTGATTCGCGCATGGATTTATCGCTTGATCTTTCCCTCGCGGTGGTCAAAGCAATTCCACGCTCAAAAAACGACCTCCAAAAGTTGAAAGTTGAAATTCATTTTAAATTTCGAGTCAAACGATTCGGGGAAAAACTTCCTCGAAACTAAGGCGATATGGAGTTTACCTTGATTCTCCTCAAATCCCGCGTGCGGGGTCACGTGTCTCGGATGAACGCTCGCTCCGTCAGGGCGGGCTCGTGCTGGAGAAACTCAGAAACAGTAAGCCGCTCGGAATTTTGCTGTTAAATCCCTGCTTTGCAATGGGTTGACCTCCAGGTCAACTTATTTAATATATAATGGAGGTCGCTATTGCCTCATGTGCATACTGGGTGGCCCCCAAAAAGGGACACACTTCACAATGCGAATTTTAGGAAATTCCAAGGAAATTTGTTCCGATTTTGAATAATGAAAAGCAGGAAGACTTAGCTACAAAAAAAAAATTATTCTCCTGATATGAAGTTCCTTAAGCGTACTTAAAGAAATTTCGAGAATTTCAGTCACGAATAACTGCGCTCGCCGACCCAAAAATCCACTGGATGCCGCTGGGTCCAATAGGAGCATGACGCTTGGTGCACGAGCGGGCGAGGCACTCGGCTGATCCTCGGGTGGAGGCTCTGATCGAATCGCTCTGCGCGAAGGGCATTCAGGCATTTCTGGAGATTCTCTTCCGACTCTTTCGTGGCTTACTGCATCGGTATATGGTCGCCTCATGTGACTCCGTGGAAGTCCGACGTCGGTGAGTTGAAACGGTCCATGACCAATAAAAACGCTCGTGTTGGACGGGACGATATGACTGCGTATTCCAAGAAAAAAGTGAAAATTGAACCATTGAACTTCATCCAGGCAAACTTGATGAAAAATGCACATCATGAAAGACATGAAAGGAGCTTGAAAGGGCTCCAAGTTTCATCTCTCTAATTTACGGTATCATTCCATTACTACGGTATCATTCCATTTTCCGTTGAATGATTCAACGATGAAGGATGTCAGGGGACTCCCGTAGGAGAATTGGGACTGTACGCGCNGCCTGAGGATATCATATTTCTATTTTCTGCATCTGTCTATGTGGAACTACCAAGAGGGAAACGATAATTATGATCCCTGTTGCCCATTCCCCATATTTTGAATTAAAATTTTGAAATAAAAAAATCGCATGGCGCTACTCAGAAGCACCATGCGACCGTCATCAATGTCAAAATTCAAGGAGCGCATTAGTACCACTGCATATAACTTTCCTACAACAGTCACATGAAGATGAACGTATACATTTTCATGATGAAAGTAGAGAGTGAACATGTCTAGGCGAAATGATCAATAGTTTCTCCAGATGATGAGTTCTGCAATTTTTGTTGCATGGAGAGAGAGGCGTAAGCAGCAAAACCTAGAACCCGTCGACTGATTTGACCAGACTTTAACATCTTCGAGGCATTAAATTTGCTTTCGGTGGAACTTTAAGATTGGCCTCGTTGTAATGATGGCAAAATGGAGACATGCGTCTTAGATCTTCCAAAACTTTCACTTTCAATGTGACATATATTATCTCTTATGCTTATAAGTAATTATCTTCTCATTCAGATGCATTGTCTCGTTGTTCGACACCGAGTCAGAGAAACTTTCACTTCTTGACCTTATTCCGATGTGTTAGCACAACTTTATTATTTGATAATTCAATTTTTCCCATAAATATGTTCACTACAAAATACCATGATACGTAGTTTCAATTGACGTTCACATTTATTAATTAATTGACACTCTTCTCTGCTTACATGAAACAATGTGCGTGAAACAGTTGTTACATATGAGGAAATTACAGAGTGCGGTGACGAATGAAGGACCGTAATTCCTCACTCAATGAATCGGGTTCCAATGGATTTTCATTTCTTTTAGCATCAGGCTGCTGTGAAAAATTCTGGATTAGCATTCCTGGGTGTTTCAAAGTATGCGGGATATGTTCGTCATTGAAGTCACCAGTGTTGAAAGAGAAATACAAAAGCAAACCTGAAAACCACACGATGAAGAATAATAATGAAATCATGACCCTCAGTAAATATACACCCTTCAACGGTATTGCCATGCCTTCGAAGTAATTCTAAAAGGAAATGCCGCCGAGTTCCCTATCATTTTCCGTCTCATATCCACAGTCACATATTTGGAATTCCTTTCGCGAGGTGTGGTTTTGCATTTGTCTTCAATTTCTCATGCAGTCACCATACTATGTATTTGTGAATCGTGGTACTTTGTACATGCGAATTCATCAATATCGTATCATGTCAGTATTAGGGTTTTCCGTCCTAGCTTCAATGCAATTGAGGAGATCTCCGGATAAGGGCGTATGTGCTCATACATCCGTATGGACACATACGCCCTTTTTTCAGAGAACTCCTCAATAATCGATTTTTCAGTAGTTTCAAATCCCAAAAATTACATTTTAACTTGACGTGCATTCTGGGTATGGATGTGGATTTTAAAAAAATCATTGCAATGCTGATGGAATGATTTGAAATCAGTGTTCGCAGTATTTATACATTGATGGCATTAGTATGAATTGCTGTGATACAATTCAAATAGCCGTGTTTGGCTACAATTAGACAGTATCCCTACTCCAATCAGAGTGAATACATTGCGTTTATGCTGAAAATAGCGAATTTTTTTGTCCTTCGGGCAAACCAAATTGGTAGGTCTCGCCTTCGGCGCTCATTGTCCAGGCTAGTGATTCTTTAATTCATTTTTGAAGTGGCGAAAACGTATGAAAAGTATGTGGCTGTCGGAATATGTGTCATGAGGGGACGAACCGATGCTTCTTTCGTAATTATTACTCCAATCATTTATTGTGGACCTAACCTCAGATCGTTTTAGAATCTGGCCTGCGAGAACAAATTTAAAAAGTCGGATTTGCACTCAGTAATAAAACAGATACTTCAACCCCAAATTTGAACTTCAGTCCTCTTTCCCATTGCAACAAGAAAGAATCGGGAAAATTTGTTTTACCCTTTTTGTTTTTTCCCCCAAGGGAATCACAAATCACAGGGGAATCACAGGGCGCACAAATTAATTTCTTTTAAACTAAAATTTGCATTCGGAAAATTACATGCCAACAAACTTTCAGACTTATCCGTTTTCTCTTTTCACTGGTGCAAAAATGCTTTTAGAAAAGTCGACCCTGTCGAAACCTCTGCCCCAAGGATATGCATTGCAAAACTATGAATTTCTTTCATTCAACATCACCCCAGTTACGTATGATCCATGCTTAATCATTATATTTCTACCCAATTCGCGAGGACAAGAAAAAGTTTTTGAAAAGTCGCCCTGCAAATTTTTTTGCATGCGAATTTGAAATTTCCCCCGAATACCTTGGCTCCGTTGTCACATTCATGCAAAAGTTTAAGCTTTCCAAGTTGATCCGCCTAGGATGACAGTCTAACAATTTCCTTTAGATTGACAGGAATGGAGGGTGATGGTCCATGTTCTGATTAAGGATTGCTCTCTTGGATGACCTTGTTACTTTTGCGCAGCAGTTTTTCGTGAATGAGTGAGGAAATTTGCGCGATGACGTCGTAGATGGATATCAACGAAACACCGAGGCAGATGCCAACGATTCCTGCTATGTTGGCCAAGAGGTCCAGCAATGATGTTTTTTCCTTCTCCAAGAAGTGCGGCACCTGACAGAACATATAAACCTACAGTTGCGGACATCGTCATGCGAGGAAAGTATATGGGAAAAGTGAATCTTGGAAATATAGGGGAAACGAACCTGGCTAGAGGGGAAACTGAAAAACAGGAAGGCACTGTTATTCGTCGACNAAAAAATCGCATGGCGCTACTCAGAAGCACCATGCGACCGTCATCATTGTCAAAATTCAAGGAGCGCATTAGTACCACTGCATATAACTTTCCTACAACAGTCACATGAAGATGAACGTATACATTTTCATGATGAAAGTAGAGAGTGAACATGTCTAGGCGAAATTATCAATAGTTTCTCCAGATGATGAGTTCTGCAATTTTTGTTGCATGGAGAGAGAGGCGTAAGCAGCAAAACCTAGAACCCGTCGACTGATTTGACCAGACTTTAACATCTTCGAGGCATTAAATTTGCTTTCGGTGGAACTTTAAGGTTTCTCCTCGTTGTAATGATGGCAAAATGGAGACATGTGTCTTATATCTTCCAAAACTTTCACTTTCAATGTGACATATCTTATCTCTTATGCTTGCAAGTAATTATCTTCTCTTTCAGATGCATTGTCTCGTTGTTCGACACCGAGTCAGAGAAACTTTCACTTCTTGACCTTATTCCGATGTGTTAGCACAACTTTATTATTAGATAATTCAATTTTTCCCATAAATATGTTCACAACAAAATACCAAGATACGTAATTTCAATTGAGGTTCACATTTATTAATTAAATGACGCTCTTCTCTGCTTACATGAAACAATGTGCGTGAAACAATTGTTACATATGAGGAAATTACAGGGTGCGGTGACGAATGAAGGACCGTAATTCCTCACTCAATGAATCGGGTTCCAATGGATTTTCATTTCTTTTAGCATCAGGCTGCTGTGAACAATTCTGGATTAGCATTCCTGGGTGTTTCAAAGTATACGGGATATGTTCGTCATTGAAGTCACCAGTGCCGAAAGAGAAATACAAAAGCAAACCTGAAAACCACACGATGAATAATAATAATGAAATCATGACCCTCTTTAAAAATACACCTTTCAGCGGTATTGCCATGCCTTCGAAGTAATTCCAAAAGGAAATATCGCCGAGTTCCCTATCATTTTCCGTCTCATATCCACAGTCACATATTTGGAATTCCTTTCGCGAGGTGTGGTCTTGCATTTGTCTTCAATTTCTCATGCAGTCACCATACTATGTATTAGTGAATCGTGTTACTTTGTACATGCGAATACATCAATATCGTATTATGTCAGTATTAGGGTTTTCCGTCCTAGCTTCAATGCAGTTGAGGAGATCTCCGGATAAGGGCGTAGGTGCTCATACATCCGTATGGACACATACGCCCTTTTTTCAGAGAACTCCTCAATTATCGTTTTTTCAGTAGTTTCAAATCCCAAAAATTACATTTTAACTTGACGTGCATTCTGGGTATGGATGTGGATTAAAAAAAAATCATTTCAATGCTGATGGAATGATTTGAAATCAGTGTTCGCAGTATTTATACATTGATGGCATTAGTATGAATTGCTGTGATACAATTCAAATAGCCGTGTTTGGTTACAATTAGACAGTATCCCTACTCCAATCACAGTGAATACATTGCGTTTGTGCTGAAAATAGCGAGTTTTTTTGTCCTTCGGGCAAACCAAATTGGTAGGTCTCGCCTTCGGCGCTCATTGTCCAGGTTTGTGATTCTTTAATTCATTTTTGAAGTGGCGAAAACGTATGAAAAGTATGTGGCTGTCGGAATATGTGTCATGAGGGGACGAACCGATGGTTCTTTCGTAATTATTACTCCAATCATTTATTGAGGGCCTAACCTCAGATCGTTCTATAATCTGGCCTGCGAGGACAAATTTAAAAAGTCGGATTTGCACTCAGTAATAAAACATATTCTTCTACCCCAAATTTGAACTTCAGTCTTCGTTCCCATTGCATCAAGAAAGATTCAGGAAAATTTGTTTTACCCTTTATTTGTTTTTTTTTTCTCTCAGGTGTTTTGCGCACAAATTAATATTTTTTTTATTTCTGAAAGTAGCATTCGGAAAACTACTTGTTAACAAACTTTCAGACTTATCCGTTTCATCTTTTCGCTGGTCCAAAAATACTTTTTGAAAAGCCGACCCTGTCGAAACCTCTGCCCCAAGGATATGCATTACAAAACCTTCAATTTCTATAATTCAACATCACCCCAGTTACGTATGATCCATGCTTAATATTTCTACCCAATTCGCGAGGACAAGAAAAGGTTTTTGAAAAGTCGCCCTGCAAATTTTTTTGCATGCGAATTTGAAATTTCCCCCAAATACCTTGGCTCCGTTGTCACACTCATGCAAAAGTTTAAACTTTCCAAGTTTATCCGCCTAGGATGACAGTTTAACATAATTTCCTTTATATTGACAGGAATGGAGGGTGATGGTCCATGTTCTGATTAAGGATTGCTCTCTTGGATGACCTTGTTACTTTTGCGCAGCAGTTTTTCGTGAATGAGTGAGGAAATTTGCTCGATGACGTCGTAGATGGACATCAAGGAAACGCCGAGGCAGATGCCAACGATTCCTGCTATGTTGGCCAAGAGGTCCAGCAATGATGTTTTTTCCTTCTCCAAGAAGTGCGGCACCTGACAGGACATGTAAAGTTTCGGACATCGTCATGTGAGGAAAGGATATGGGAAAAGTGAATCTTGGAAATATAGGGGAAACGAACCTGGCTAGAGGGGAAACTGAAAAACAGGAAGGCACTGTTATTCATCGACTTCACTCCGGCCTGATTTTGACAAAAAGAAGTTGGATCCCCTGAAATGTGATAATCAGTTGTATTGCACCTCCTCGGACAACTGCATTCGCTCAGCAGCTTCGGGGCCTCCTTGATAGCTTTCCACAGCTGTTCGCGCAATGCTCTTTCGCTCTCGAGATCTTCACATACCGGTTTCGTCTGATTCACTTCCTTTGGTAGCATTGTGGGGAGCAAACATGGTACCTGAAAATCTTCATTCGACTGGAATCCTTTCCAGAAGCATATCTCCATGCACTATTGGAATATTCATCACATCATGGTAATTCATGAATTTTGAAAGCCTGTTCTGAGTGTTATGTCTAATATGACGTGAACAAACCCTGCAATAGCTATAGCCTTCATCCACGGAACAAGGATTCTCCTTCTTGCTCTGCTTCTGGATCATCTCAGGACGAATGAATATATTGGCAATGGCGTTATTGAGGAGGACGACTTTCTCTGGCCGAAAGATGTCCAAGAAAGTGTATTTCTCCCTTTGATCGTGGATGAAAACTTCAAACTGTGTGGATAATATTTGAAATTGTCAAAGGATATTTAATATTAGTTACAGGATCAACGTTCCTTTCTTCATAATGACTTGTTTCTTCTCACCTGGGGATCAGGAGCGTCCTTGATTGGTGTGAACATGAACATCAAGCTCTGTCCTGCACATTTTCCTGGTCCAGTCTGGATATATTTCCTCAGGAACAGAGTAAAGCACTTGAAATACTGTAAATTGGGCCCAAAAAGCCCCTTGCCATAAAATGTCCGTTGGGTCCAATGTCCACTCCCTGTAAAATACACAAAGGCGACTTTAGAGCTAATACATTTCTCCATTTCCAATGAAAATCTTTAAAATCCCACCGTCTGAAATCTGAATGATGGTTTCCCCGTTCGCACTTGATCTATTCTGCAGCCTTCGAAATGGGAGGGTTTCAAACCAGACTATTTCTTCCAAAGAAACGGATGCACTCTGGGACATATTGAATCCCAAATCTTTTCTGTTTGCCAAAGAACTCTTCACAGATGGTTTTGGGCAGACAGTAAATGCAGGAGCACTGACGCCTTCAACATCATCCATTTGGTACAGCGTGTTTGTCGGGAAGGACTGGTATTCCTCCAACATGAGCCTCACCTGCAGTTCTCAGTCTGTTATCACCATGGGTTACAGTAGGACAATTAATTAAATAACTGTGGTAAAACAACACTTACCTGCCATAGAGAAATGGTGGCACAAGTCAAGATCACTATTGCCTTCAAGGCGAGTCGCAATTTCCCTCCTTTCATCCGGCGCTTTCCTTGGAACACGTTTTCCAATCTGAGTTTTGGCTTTGAGACGAGCATTTCCTAAATTTAACTTTTCGCGTGTCTCTTGAATCTTAAAAGATTTGGTAATTAGCTATTACGAAGACGCAATTGTTTCCGACATTTCCTTGAGATAATGGTAAGTTTGAAATGGACAAGGAATTATCCATTTTCCCTTTGAATGTGCTCCTCACAATCGATTGCATAATTCTCATGGCATAACTTATATGCCATATGCGGCAGTGTTTCAGTATCTACTCTCAGTTACTACTCAGTATGCAGGAAACGATCTATAGCCATACTCTCAACCGAGAAAGTGATGACAAGATTTGGAGGAATTGACCGAAATGGCCAGAGGTAGTTTCGAAACAAAGGGAAATAATTTTCCCGTGTCCTGACAAGGGCAACATGCATGCCAGGAGTAGGGATGGAGGCAGGGTGATGTTCTGCGATTGTTATAGTTCGTAATTCCAAGGCAGATTTAGTTCAGGAAATTTTCTGAAGTATGGTAGCTCAAACCCTGATGGTAATGACCGCTTCGCACAGCCAAGAAAATTAAGTTTTCGAAAGAACTCTTTTTATCTCTTGTGATGCTACAGGTACCGACATTTTGAATCACTAGCAAGAGTTGTGGAAGACACCGAAAGAAGATTTTCCTTTCGTAAAGTGCATAGTGGAAACATGGTTCTCACATGGCGTACAAGGGGAAATGTAGACATTCGAAGAGTAGGTTGGGGATTGATTTAAATTGTTTCAAGCTGAAAAATCGAACCATACGGTTTCTCAGTCAAATAAAGGACAAATCTTGCAATAAATAATAATATGAGTGAGCGTTTTCCGAAGGTAACAGATTGAGCTGTCTAAGGATGTAAACATTTTCCCAGATGATGCCATAGGTGCTGAGAATTCCGCGCACGATCAGATGTTGCTATACTTATGGATGGCAGTGTATAACATGCATTGGATGAACGTGTCGTTGTAGAATAGGACATGCCAAAAATGTAAATAAACACGAAGGCGTTCCTATGACGGATCCGCTTCATGTGCAACATAGGAAAGTACCGATTTCACGTGTGCCTCTCCCTTCAAGAACATAGCGAGAAAAAATGAACCAATGCTCATGTTCTGTGATTGATTTCCAGTGCAAAGGAGCATGGCAATGGTTGATTCCTCGGATATTCAATTCATTTCTTGTCTGTCAATCACTTCGTTTCACATATTTATTTTCAATTCAAGAAGGAGAGCTATTCAACACTTTCCCATGATATTACTCCTCCAATTCGGAATCGTTTCCGAAGCATGTAATTAAAATAATTCTTAATGTCACAATACCAGTCATTTTCTCCCACGTTTTTCTTCAGATCTGTACTTTCTTCCCATCTGAAAAGTTTTCCTATGGTGCGGAGTAAGGGATTCTAGTGGCTGAAGGATTGGAGATCAAGCCGCAGTTATATCTCAATGCACCATAATACATCTGACGTATGACTGCAGGAATTCCTCGGATTTAAAGTCATACTGCAGGCGTATATCAGATATGCATTGTGCCACCCTTGATGCTATAATGCCCTTATGGAAAACTATATTATGAACTAGTGCGAGTATCTCATTTGACAGGTTTAGTTGCGAAAAATTTCATAGGATTAAAGGTTCGACACTCTTGAGCACACAAAAATATGCACACACTGAGGCGCTCAAAACACAAGATGCTAGCTTTTAGTCACCAAGGGAACGTCGTAGGGAGAGATCAATTCCTCTTTTTTTATTCATTGTGATGGGCTATTGACAGCTACTCCATTTGCTCCCCATAAAATAATTACTTAAAAGATAAGAGCCATAGTCTTACATGCTCTTTTGTGCTCAGCTGAGGGCGACTGCCCTAATGAACGTCTTCTTCAGATAAGATTCTTCTATTGAATATTAACAATCAGGAGTTCCCAATGCTTTGGCTCCAATTAAGTGAAGATAGTGATGGGTGCCATAGAACTCATTTATGAACGTTGACGTTGGATTCTTGCTATAAAAAAAAATCGACGTTAGTAAATGAAACTTAGATTAGAAGCATACGCCTCTTCGGCTTTGTCTGGAAGTTGCAAAATATTGGAGACAACGTCAACACTCATAAGCGTATGCCCATTCGTTAGATTTAAATAAATATTCTCTTCAAGGCAAGTTAGCAATATTTTTGGACGTGGAAACTCCGTTCCTTGAATCGAGTCACTTCGCGACACAGATGAGAGGAAGTCTCTGGAATTAAGCCACTTCACTCAGCACGGCCTGGATCCCTCGTCATTCATTCCTTCCACGCTGAGAGAAGCGGGATCTCATTAATTGAAATCCCGATTGAGAATAAGTTAATATGTACTACATTAGTCAGAAACGAGTAGTCGTGGATATATAAATGCATACCTAGAAAGATGGCCTAAATAATTGAAAGAAATCATGTTGATCTATTGAACGGTGTGAGGCATTTCCCTTGCTTCTCTCAGCGTTACGGTTTAAGATGATGAATGCTGACAAGCCCACGACTTCTTCAAGATAACAAGGAAACGATTTTGACGGAAAAATTGCAAAAATTAATGGATGTTGGGACATGTTGGGGCCGCATGCTAGTATCTTGCATCGCGTCGAACTTAATATTCCACTAGAGGATGGTATTTTGCGAAATTTCAGAATATCCATTCCGCCGTGGCTGGAATAGATTCAATCCAAAAACACATTTAAGCTAATACTCTTGGCAAACCCCATGCAAAGACGAATTGCAAACTAAATGTCCGCATTTACTTCATTTACTTTTTATTTAGTTGCGATGAGTTCGCATATTACTGGGAATTACGAATCATGAAAATGAGGAGGTACCATTTTTATCACCAAACCTCATTAGGCTCAATCAAGTCTATTTAAAAAAAGGTCATTTCTCAGATCAGACCTAAAAATTATTTATATTACACAAAATTATGAGGACCTCTTTCTCAGGAAAAGATATAGATAGATGGGAATTACCATTTGAATTACCATGACATCAGAACCACGAATACCTAGGTATTGCACGTGCATCTATCATTCAATGAGGATTTGTATTCGACCAATATATTGAAAACCTGAACAACCGCTTTCAAGTTTATACTTCCAAAGTCTTCCAGAGGAAGCCTTTCTTACCTCATTATTTTTCATTGGCACGAGTGCTATTGCTGGTACAAGTCAGTCACCAAAAATGAAAACAAGGTCAAATGATTATGCCTAAAGACCGTAGGTCAACCAATTTCATGTTTCTGCAGTTGCAGCTGGAGTGCATGCGACAAGTGTTGGAATTATCTCGCTTTGACTTTCCAAAATACAATACCCTCCAAAAAGTATCTTATCTAGACACCCCTGTTTTCATAGTCCAATGCACCTTCCCGTCGAAACACGTGGCTCAGACTGGTATGTGAGGTTAAAGTAGGCCGACGCCAACATAAACATTTTGGACAATTCCATGTTCCTTACGATGAGGCAGATCTTTTTGTGCAGACCCATGCTTCTTTCAACAGGATAATGCCCCATGCCCTACCGCTGGTGCTGTTACACAATGGTTCATAGATATTAATGTACAAAAATCGGAACGGCAGGCGCATAGTCCCGATTTGGACCCAATGAAACACCAATGGGATGAACTGGAACGTCTGTTGAGTACCAGACCAACACGTGGATTTGTCGGGCTGGAGAGGAGCAGAGAAATGATGAAACTTTTGATCCAGTCGAGCTGATAGCGAGAGCAAGGAATTGACATTGAGATACGAAGTGATGTCATAAGCGAATGCTTCTTTATTGTCTTCTGCGTTATTGCCAGGTTATATTGGATTTCGGGTTGTGTATTATGGGGGATCAAAGGAAGGACATTTAGAGATGTTCACTCGAAGGAGAAAATAAAAAGTAGCATACTGTATAGACTACCGTCAAGAAGTACTTATGTTGTTTAAAGTACATCCAGGATCGAGGAGAAAAATACAACAGAAAAAAGATAAAGCTTTTAGAACCAAATGCTCAATGTAACCAGATAGTATAACCCAATTGATGGAATCTCCTTTCAACATGCCAGGATTCTCATGGAATGCAATCGAATAGATTAGTCAAATGCGCTCTCTCAATGGGAAAAGACTTTTGGAATACTTTGGAGGAGAAAAATGACAACTGTGGAATTTTAAGAAGATTGACATTGAATTCACTTTTAAATGCACCAGATCCAATAAAAGACAATTATTCACGCATCTTCCTGAGGTCAGATATTTTCGGTGAAACCTCGGACGTATTTCTTCCCATTTAGGAACACCTCGACAATGAAAATGCACTCAATTTTTTAAATTTAACTTGAAATGTAATTTTTTCTTTTTTCTTCTTTGTATTTCATAACTGACATCTACATGAGCCGAATTTTTTCATTTCACAAACACGGTCCTGCGCCTTACGCCAAATTTTCTTAAGAAAATTTGGCGAATTAAGGAAGCGAATTAGCGCTCGTTTGACTTCATTGAATGCGTATTAAATACTTTTGAAATGCGATAATATTTACCAAAATTTTCTCCCATGGTGACGGCGCCAAGAGCAAATTGTGAGGATTCAGTTTTCAAGGTAACTTTTTTGAAGTGCTACATGTACAGGTAAGTGCTACATATGGATTATAATATTATTTTATAACTTTGTTTTAAAAAGCATTTTTTATTTACTCTGAAAAAGGACATATTCGAGTACGCAAGTGAATCAACATTTAGTCGAGAGCATCTATCATAAAAGCAATTCTTCATGTGGGACCCGTTCCCCCTAATCTGGATTCCATGGACAACCATTACCTTTGCCTTCACTTTCATGCTTTTTAATGGTATTGCATGAGTCTAGTCCTCCTATTCCTGCATCCGTTAAATGTCTACTTCCACGTTGTTTTTTGCATGGCACTAATGAACGAGTCTACATTACGAGAATGTCCGCATGCGAAAGGCTTTACGATAGAGAAGTGATTGCGAGTATTTCCCATGTCCTCATCTTCAGCACACTTAACTGCAATATTTTGGATTCGACGTGCGAAAATGATTACATGACTGTCTTTTTGGGAAGAAAAGAAAGGAATGCAAACCAGTTTTGAAGGGAAAGTGAAGAAGAGAATCGCTCTCCCAGCACCGCGGAAAGATTGAATCTCCTGGCTGCAGGCCGAGGTGGGATCCCCGGAGATGTGATACTTGGTCATGTTGCACCTCCTCGGGCAGTTGCAATTCTCAGCCAACGTGGGCATCTCCGTCGGGATGGCTGTCAGCAGTTCTCCAACCATCTCCTTTTCGCTTTTTCTGTCGTGACAGTTCAGTACTGTTAAGTTGACTTCCTGGGTCAGGAGGGACGGGATGATACACGGAAGGCCAGGGCGAGATTGGAATCTCTCCCAAAAACAGTTCTCCATGCACTGGGTAGAAAATTATTTCACTTAAAATAAATAGCTTTTTGGTATATAATTGATTTAATCTCGACGGACCCTGGTGTAGCTGTAGTCCTCGAGCTGCGAACAGGGTGCATCTTTCCTACTCAGTTTCTCAATGACCTCGGGACGAATGAAGAGACTGGTGATGGTGTTGTTGAAAATTACCAACTTTTCGGGTCTGGAAACACGCAAGGCGAATTTCTCCCTCTGATCGTGAACGAAGACTTCAATCTAATGTGTGAGAGAAATGAGAGACCAATTAATTGCACATTTGCTTATTTGGTTGATGTCCCCTAATGTGCACAAATTTGGTGATTTATTCTACCTTCGGGTCAATGATGCCACCAAGATCTTTGAAGTCAAAGACGAAAGTTCCTCCGAGGCAACCGTTCGGCTGAGTCTCCACATACTTGTTTCAGAACAGTGTGTAGCACTTGAAATAATGCGTTTTCTTCTTGTTCCCGGCAAAAAGTGTTCGCTCATTCCAATGTCCTTTATCTACGAGAAGCAAGAAACCTCGCGGTCTGAAGTTACCATATCTATACTAGCACTTTTCAAAGACTTACCTTTTGGAATGAGAAAAATTGTTTCCCCGTTGACGCTTGAGGAATTCCTGAACTTGAGCGTGCTGAAGGGAATGTGCAGGACAACATCGAAAAGCAAAACTGCGGTCCTGTTGAACTCATCGAATTCCATGAATTCCGCGTCTGGGTCCAACTTGAAAGAAGTATTCACCGACGGTTGTGGGCAAATGGTAAATGCCGGAGCCGGAACCATGTCGACGTCGTATATCAAATAGTTTGTGATGGTTGGGTATGACAGGTATTCTTCTATCAAGAGCCTCACCTGGAATTCCAATCCAAGACACTATCGACAATCTCTCGTCATTTTTCAGGGAATGAAAGACCGATTATTGTTGACCCACCTCGTTGAGACAGAGGGCTGCACATGTCATGATGACCAACGCCTTGATATTCTTCCCGATATTACCCTTTTTCTGGCCTATCAGGACGCCCAAAAATAATATTCATTGATGGTATTTCTCCAAGTTTCATCTCTCTAATTTACGGTATCATTCCATTATTACGGTATCATTCCATTTTCCGTTGAATGATTCAACGATGAAGGATGTCAGGGGACTCCCGTAGGAGAATTGGGACTGTACGCGCTCGAGGGAGGGTTAAAGAGGGTTTTCAAGGCAAATCATGGAATAGATCATGTTAAACGCTGGAGGTTCCTCCAGCTCGATGTCAGCAAGAGAACGAGAGGAAGTGACTCACTTTGCGGATGGCGCTGGTGCGGCTCGGGTCGAGACAGGACCTAATTTATTCATAAGGTGGTGGACGCGGGGAATGCGTTACGTGACGACGCGGAATGCGTTACGTGACGACGGAGTGACGGATTATTTATAGGAAGAGACGCCATGCTTTTCTGGGCAGAGAATGAAGGGGACGATGAAGGCGAAAGGGACTCGGCGAAAAGAACTTGGACATGCAATGAAATCTTTTCAAAATTCGAACGCGAAAATGTTCATCGTCTGAGTCGGTAAGCCTGAACCAAAATGAAGGAACGCTCGACACATTGGCATCCAAACGTGCGCGATTGCCTCCTGACACAACTATCCAACCTTGAATGAACCTTGAATGTTTGGCACTCCAGAAGCGACAGGGCTGCTCACATTTCCAAAGCATATTATTCTTCTGACCTCAGGTGAAAGGTATATTCGAAAAGTTCTGCACGAATCGGATGCTTCCAGACTGGATATCTTCAGATTCTTTCTTGGCTTACTGCAAAACGATATGTTCGTTTAATGCGACTTCGCGAATTCCGAAATTGGTGGAACAAAAATGAAGACACTTTGTTTTGGATGGTAATATATGACTGCGTCTTCAAAGTTACGAGTCAACGGTAAACCATTTCAACATGGTCCTGGTGAACTTGATGAAATACGCACATCAAAGATGCAGAAGGAGCTTGAAAGCGACACGAATTTCATCTCTCTGATTTCCAATCCTGAATTAATCAGAAGAGAAGCTTAGGGTATTTAGATAATGACGACCCTATAGGAAAGCTGAACTTTTCAGCGATATTCAGTCGCTGTTCATCAAAAGACAAAACGAAGAAAACTGAAACCTCGAATGTACTAGTATCTCGAACGCACTAAAGGAAAAAAAAAACCGGCGAGACTCGAAAATTGGTTAAACATTTTTGGCCCAGGTGTTTTTCTCGAAAGGTGGGGGTTCAAAAAAAAAAAAAACTCCAGATTATGCGGAATGCTTCCGAGTTCGCCGGGAACTTTTCTGAATCCTGCAGTCGCACTGAATGTCCTTCTGCTCTGTTCCTGGCGGGGGATTTCCGCGGTCAGCAAAATTTGGGCGATCCGACGGCAGGAGCGATGCGAACCTGCGATCCCATCCAATGAATCGTTTCGTTCGAGGGCCTTCGCTTTTTTTCGGAGGCCTCGTGGACGTTCCACACGCCGAAGGGGAGAAGCGGAATGGGAGGACGGCCTCGCTTGCGCCCGCCATCGGTGATAAACTCTCGGAAGCGAGTTGCGATCTCCTTTCCATATTCGGGAATTTGGGGGAGAAGAGAATTGGAGGCGCTGAGGACGTCCTGAATAGTTGCGAAGGCCAACGCGACAATCGTGCGCCTGAAAGGAGAAAAATCTTCGTCGCATGAAGTTGATTTGACATTGAAAGGAGAAATGCCAGTAGGCAGCAATCTCGGTCTGGGAGTGCAAGTTCTACGTTTTCGGTCCTTTCCCGCCTTCGGTTACATTCGTGGTTTCGTCCTCTTCCACTGTTTCGTGTCATTCGCCGATGAGCTGCATTCTCCGTTTCAGTTCCTTCGGGGTTTCAGTTTTCGGGGTTTTTCTTTATAGACCCGTTTCTCAATGGGCTCTACATCCAATGGCATTTGAATGTGTCAGCCGCGATATACTTCTTACCGAATTCTGCTGGCATGGAATCAAGCACCCTTGGTTCACAAGCTACATTCGCGGAAGAAAATAATATGTATATAATGTGTCACTACATCCTAACTTACTTAACTTCCGAGCCTACTTAACTATGGTGTCCCTCAGAGTAGCATTCTACGAGGTGCGTTCAAGTTCTAAGGTCTCCTAATTTTTTTCTGGGGACCGGGTGCAGAAAGAAACATGCGTTTGAGCTTAAAATACGCGGGTACTCTTTGTTTATACATGAACGAGATGGCAGCACCGTACAGCGCACAGGGTTCTTGTAG